TAAAACTAACCTACCTAAATAGGATCTCTATGGCTTTACTACCGATATGACAAAAAATGACAAGGAAAATACTTAAGTTAAAAAGAAATTATCTGAATTCAAAAGTATTAGAGTAAAATAAATAATTAATATTACCCCGTGATCACAAAGGCTTACAGCAGGTTAAGCTTAAGCACAATTAATATAGTTACAGAATTATTCTTATAAATAAAATTTAAATGATAAAACGGAATATAAATTACTAGTATCACTGAAGTGATTAGACTGACGGTCTTTCATACCTTGGTTTGCAGATTTTGAGATACCTGATTTCTGGTAGAAATTAATCAAGCGATGGAACTCTCCACCACTGGTGTTGGTTACGATTACCTCGAAAAAGAAACTGTCTTAAAACTTGTAGGACTGCAGGACACCAAATGAACAAAACAGGAGCATCACCCAGATGCTTCTGGAATATCCGGAACACAGGAACAGCGCCTGCGGACGGAATCCAACACGGTCGTTGACAACAACCCTCTGGAGGTCTGACACAGGCAGTCAGTGGTACGGGCCATTAGCAGGCTTCGCTCATCGCGGTCGTAATAATCCCAAAAATAATGGATTAGGGTACCAACCCCTGCGCGACACAGCAACGTGTTTAACAACCCGATCACTATCGGCGACAAACGTATTGGTTTTTTCCACGTGCTTCGCGACGACCCTCGACTCACAAGGCCAGACGAACAGTCAACCACGTACCCCCGGTACCTTTCCCAACGAAAAGTCGAAAAATAATGATCATCGAACCTCATGGCTACGGCGTATTTAACCCCTTTTCCAAAAGTCAAGATAGCTTCACCAAGGAGGATATGACCATACATATTTTGGAAATCACATTTCCGGTGATCGCCACAAGTTACCAGAAAACTTATCTAAATTAATCTAATTCGACCCCAAATGTATTTACACATTTCAACTCAGGTAAAGTAATTTCTCAATTATCACTTATTTGTCCTTCCTTAATATAATATTGTATTTTAGGCCTTCTTTTTTTTCCTATCGTAGTCATAGATAAGTTTTATTTTTCTTGTTCGATTAATTAACATTGGAACATTTATGTGTAATTCTAGATATCACATTAATTTGGGGTAGTCTCAAGGACAGCTGTATTTGGGGAACTTACTGCTGGATAGTGGTAAACTATTAAGACACCCTTTTCGTCCCTTACTTACTGAAGTTACCTACAAATGAACAAAAAGGACAATATTTTAATTGGAGGTTAAGATAAGTGGACCTATTCATACCTTTGAATCCAAGAGACTGTTTTGTCAAGCATCCCTTCCAAAGAAGTCTTCGATTTCAACCGGTGCCTATGTAGGTAACAATAGTGTCGATTCCAAGGTAGGATTTTACTGAATATACCAGCACAAGTTTCTCGGATAGAAGGTGTTACCACATAAAATATCCTCACCTTCAGTGTTTGGGAATATCCTGAAAATTGTATATATTAAATTACCAGTTTAACCTTTTAATTTGTATATATGAAAATCATTTATTTTGTAAAACGCCCAGAATAGATATCTATTTAATCGGTACGTAAGCTGTATATTAAACTCAAAGGACTTACCTATACGACCGAATTATAACTACATAAAGAATAGAATCTCAAGATTTTCTTTTTAATAACAAATAGTCGACACGTTTTAATTATACCATAACCCTAAATATTATTCTTCTTTTTTTTTGAGGTGTCCATCAGACAATTTACCCAGATAAATAATCGATTGTATCTCGGTATAATCGCCAAACGGTCTTAGCCAAATCAGCTATTCATCCCATTTCGAAGAAAAAAAAGGGAAAAATAACTTACGACCCTCTCTCTAACTGAGCAGTGAGATAATTAGTTGTATGACCCACAATTTATTGTTTTGCTCATTAGGTCCTAGCAAGTTGTTCACAGTAGTGTAACTGTACAAGTACCCCCAGGCTTTACAGTAACACAGCAACGGTAAAACATTCTAATATAAGATAACTCACTTTTTTCCACAAATAGGTGACGTGAAAACATACAAGTATTATTTTATATACACAATAAGTATGTCCCTTGGACAAAAAAAGTAAAAGAAATATAACAGGTATAAATTTAGTCGGCAGGATAGAAATCAAATTTTAGTTGGGGCAAATATTTCCCTGCCGCAAGAGTAAGCAAAAATTATTATCACAGTGAATGGCAATGCGCTGGTACGAGGGCTTAGACTGAAAGTGCTATCTACACAGGGTATCGTAAAGATAAATTTTATGAAACCCTATTAATAACACTTGATTTCCGTCGTAAAAATTACCATAACTTATTAGATAATAAAAATTAATAAAGTCACATTACTATATAATAGTCTATTTCATATGAAATAGAAATAAACTTCTTCCCGTTATATTACTTAAAAGAAATTATGTGTTTATCAAAACTTTTAAGCCATTAAAGAGCATGAAATAAAATAAACTAAAATAAATAAAAACTCTTTTTTCGGTTGGGTGTTCTCCGTTTACCTTCGGTGAACGTCCCAACTGTATCTATGTAGCTCCCTTTAATACTAATGAATAATAATACTTAACCAGAGGTGACTAAAAGAGACTTCAGATCACATTTTTAGTGCCTGTCGGGGTAGTAGCAAAACCCTTGGCAGTGGAACACCAAAATTAACTCTTGAGTGAACGTCTGTGTATTGTACAGTGAGATTGTACACTAAAATTGTAGTCGAAACCTGTACATTTAACCTGCAAACTAAAACTGTGCTCCAAGACTGTACACCAAAAACTGCATACTTAAGGTAAAGTATCCCTCCCAGTTTATAAAAAAACTAATAACTACAAATCAAACGAATTTACCCACCCACTTTAATATTTAAATAAAAATCGGTTCTTAACCAACTAAATTCCCTTCAAAAAAAAAAACGAGCAACACGTGGCCAAACTCATTACCTTTTTTTCCTCGACCTCACTAATATAAAAACTTATATAGAAAAAAGTTTACAGAAAATAAAGTTGGAGAAAACGAAGCTTACGTTCTAAACAAAAGGGTTTTCCAAAAATGAGGTTGGAGAAACAGAACGATTGCTTTCCTCGGCTTGGCTTCAGCACAATTCCTAGGTTCTTTTCCAATAACCCATTACTTTTTCGCAAATCGAATTCCAACTTGTATGCATACCATGAGTAACCGAACGTGCTTCAATATGACAACGTCGACACTTGACTTTTCCAAACGTCAAGTCAGTTAAGTCCTACTGTTTACATTAAACCAATATGCAATATAAATTAATTGAACTCCGAACTAAAAATACTATATACGAGTATTATGATATCCCAGAATACTGAAATACATGAGGTTAAACAATTAACCACACAAAAAGGTTATTAAAGGTCCTACTAAAACTATCTTACACATAATATATTTTTAAAACAATTGTACAGAGATTCTATAACCTCAGTGAAATATAGTTTTCACCGCACTCAAACTATGGGATATGGCGGAATCCCACAGGTAAGAAACAAAATTGTTCAAAAAGGTATAAGCACTTCAGCTTGCTTTATTGACAAAGTCAAACCTAGGTCAAAACCTCGGGTCATTTTAGACGTAAAGTGCGTAGATTAATCACACGATTATCAAAGTAAGTAATTCCGGTTAACAAATTCAATTAGATAATATATACGTGCCAACACGATAGGCCCCGAAGAGAACCTATCGACAGCCGTAAGCTAGAAACTCAAGAACCTCCATAGGCATTCTAGAGAAGAGAACTCTTGTTTTAGACACAAAACATTCACAATTGCAAGGTATGTACCACAGTTAACATTTAACCATAATAATAATCTTTAAAAACGTAGCTCTAACATATACAAAGTGTACCAAATGATAAATAACAGTTCATAAAACTTTTCTGCGAATTATTTAATGGCAAGAGCCTCGAAAATAGATTAGTGTCTCTAAAATGGGAAACTACGTATTAAAGTTTTTGATTGATCACTAAATTGTTTCACCATTTTGTTGAATATCAAAATATACATATTTTTAAAAATTTCAATAATAACATGATGTCGGCTTAAGGTGCAAACTCCATTTATAGGCCGTATATGTTTTATTAACTTGCGCTGTAAAATCCGTTGTGCCACACAACCTAAAATCAAGTTAACCTGGAAAACAGCGTTTTTGGCGCCTATTTATAGAAAACGCATTTGGCCGATCTCCACGAGCACTGGAAGCAAATCGCGAGTGGCTTAATTCCCAGTATTGTAATGTTGTTATGGTTGAGGCACGTGTAACGAAATTTGCTCTCTAGATATTTGTGTTAAAAAAGCGATGAATGTGAGTAAAAATTATTTAAATTAAGTGTTGGTTTATTTTTTAAAACCTTGTATAGTGTGTTGAAATTGTAGTTTTTTTTACCGACTTATACTTTTACGTTAAGAAATATTTACGTGGAGATAAGCGACTTAGTTTTTTAAGGAGTTTTTTACGTTAAGAAATATTTACGTGGAGATAAGCGACTTAGTTTTTTAAGGAGTTAGGTCAGTTGCTCCTTATAGTTTAGTGTATATATTGTGGGTTTATACATAAAATTAATTTAATTTAACAATTAACATAATTTAATTCAAAATTAAAATATGCTAGTGTCATGAATGCGTTTATTAATAAAAATTATTCTAAATTTAAGAATTAACAGAAAAATTGACCCACTTTTATGCATTGTTAGTTTTATATTGTTAAATTATTTCGAGTGACAGGTATTGGCCGTATTGTTGCCGTAAATTATTAAAAATAAGAGGTTTGGCATGTCATTTTATTATTTGCTATTATGTTTATCTTTGTAACCATGCGCAAGGTGGACAATTTTAGTGGCAATGCTTAAAAGTTAATAATTCTTATTTTACATTAATTCTTAAACTATCTAAATAATTTTTTTGTATAAATTCACCTTTACAATTTTTGTAATAAAAATAATATTTAATAACAATATTTTTTTTAGATGAGTGAAATTAGACCAAGAACATCTAGAATTTTGACAGCAGCAGACATTAGTCTCCCAGAATTAATATTAACCTCGAAAAAGAGAGAAGAAAATCAAAGTGAAAATTAACTTTCGCCAATTAACTTTTTAAGAAATTATCCAATCACCGACAATTTTAACTTAAATGAATCGATAAATGATTTCGACAATCTGGAAACTGACGACTTACTATTACAGGCAGATGATGAAAAAATTAACCAATTAAAATCCTTAATCAATGAAGATAATTAACCTACGGAAAACGCGTTAGATCAAGACTTTGTAACTGAATCAGACGTTGACTTAGTAGTGAAAAGTTCAGAACTTGTGCCTCCGACAGAACACATATTAGCCGATTCCGATATAGAAAATTCTGAACCTAATAAAGAACGCGATAACATATACAAACCAGAAACTGATAGTGATTCAGGCGCAAGTAAGGATCATACGAATCACAATTTAGTAAATAATGCCGAAGAAATTTCAGTAGGAAAACGCAAAAAAAGACAGCATGTGGACCCAGATGGTTGAAAGAAAATAAAAAACAAATTGAATAGACAATGTGGACAAAATTATTTTGGTAATAAAAAGGAAGAGCAAAAGTGGACCTACACTATTCCTAAAGAAAATAAAGCTTTAAAACCTAGATGCAACTGTAACGGAATGTCAGCATTTAAATGTAGCACTATTTTAAATGCACAAAGAAATAATATTTTTAAACATTTCTGGAGTCTAACATGGAACGAGAAAAAAATATTCCTAACAACGTTAGTTCAGAAAGAATTTACTGCAAGAGCAAGGGATAGAAAAGTTAAAGCAGAATCAAGACGAGCATTTTCTTATATTTACTATTTAGAAACAGATAAGAGAATTAAAGTTTGCAAGATCATGTTTTCAAACACATTAGGTCTCCCTGCGAGAACGATAGGACGTTGGTTACTTGAAAAAAATGCTAGTGGTAATTTTGAGCAAAAGGTTATTGATAATCAAGAAAAACAATTAGATACAAGACGATTTAAAATAGTTGATCAAAAAACTGACCTCACAAACTTTTTCAATATTTTGCCAAAGCTAGAATCCCACTATTACAGGAAATCAACAAAAAAAATGTACCTTGAACCAAATTGGAAATCAAAAGCAGATCTCTACAGATTTTACACATTTGATTGGTGTCAGAAAACTAATACCCAGCCATTATCAATTGCAACTTTTCTGAATGTATTTAGTCCCAAAAAAGGTGAATGTGATACCTGCGTAGGTTACCAAACACAAAATGTGTCTGAAACTACTTATCAAACTCATATATTTAAGAAAGAGGAAGCCCGAAAAGAAAAGGAATCTGAAAAAATAAAGAATAATATAAAAGTTTTTACAATGAATTTACAATCTGTTCTTCTTTCTCCTAAATCAAATGTTAGCGCTGCATATTATAGAACCAAGTGCACAATTTCACTATATTCGATATACAAACTAAAGATGGTTCTTGCTTCTTATGACATGAGGGACAAGCTGGTCTAACAGCTAATACATTTATTTCCATTATTTATAACTTTTTAGAATCTAACATAAAAAAGGAATCGGTAGAAAAATAATTATTTACAGCGACGGTTGCACCTGTCATCCAGTTAAATATAAAAATTGAACAAAAGTATCTGGAAAAATGACATACGCAGATGAAGTGCGACTCAATGTGCTCCACGATAGAAAGAAAATTAAGAAATAAAAAAATTAATGTTTATGCCGACTACGTAGAAGTATGCGAAACAGCCCGATTAAAGCCCAAACACTATGTTGTGCATTATTTCGATTACACATTGTTTAAAAATTTTCAACAAACTCAATTTTTTTCCTCTATTAGACCAGGAAGGAAACCAGGAAACCAACTGTAACTGACATTAGGGACCTGCAATATGGCAAGGAAGGTATAATGTATAAGATACGTCATACTGAAGAATGGCAACCACTACCGTTCATAAGAGTACCTAGAGATATGCCGATATGGAAGTATAATGAGCATCCAATGATGTATTCAACTCGGATACCAATAAAAGCTGAAAAATATCAACATCTTATGGCTCTCAAGACTTCTATTGAAAAATATTACCACCCATTTTATGACGCTTTAACGCATTTATAGTTCATCTTTACTCGTACAATCTCAAATAAGTAATATTGTTTTAGTTAAACAGTTATAAACATGTTATTCAAATTTTTTTGTTAATTTTAAGCAATTAAAACTAATGGCCTAAATCTCAAAGATTTTAATATTGAAAGAGGCATATGGCCTAACTCCTCTCTTTTAATAAAATGTTTCATTACAAAATCCGTTTTCTAAAAGTTATTTAAGCCCAACTATGTTTTCACACGAAAAAACCACAAATTACTAAAATTTATTAACAATTTAGAGAGTTTTTGCGTCTCCTGTAAATTTTTCTTTTTTAGAGGTAGGCCATTTGCACCTTAATCCGACGATTATGTAATTATGTGACGTGCAAAATCTAGTAACTTTTTGTTCCATCCATTTTGCATTCAAACAATAAAGAATGCGAATGGACTTGGGGTATTTAATATTATTGTCTTTTTACTTTCCTATCTGTATACAGTGTCTGTGTCTGTATCCACCATAACTCATGAACCGATGTTATGTTATGTTGAAAATGGGGTGTTAATACACTGCGACCTAAAAGATCTATTGTGCCCCCTTCTGTCGCCACTGCACTAAGGAAATGTCTCAATGTCTATAGCGACCCTTCCAATCCTATTTTCTCAAGGAAGTGTAGGATTTGAAGTGGCTTAAAGTTAGGTAAGTCTCCCTCTTCTATTTGATATCCTCCTAGATATAGTGCCCTTGGATTCTGGAGTGCTACACATTCAGTTAGGATGTGAATGGAGGTTTCGTCCTCCTCCTCACAGAATCTGAACTCACTATCCTCTACTACTCTCAGTTTACTTAGGTGTCCTTTTAGTCGGCAGTGCCCGGTAAGGATCCCTGTTACAATACGTAGAGCCTGTTCTTGCTCAGGCAGATGCAGGCTTCCGATCTTTTTTGGTTATATTCACCCAGAAGTATCTTGGCCTGTCTCAGCCCCAAGAGATTGTTCCAATTATCGGTTCTTCTACTACCCAATTCTTTTTTAATCTCTTCTAATATTATGTTACTGCTAATACCGCAGAACGGCTCAGGTCCTACAAAGGGTGTTTGAGCCCCTTTCCTTGCAAGACTATCTGCAATCTCGTTACCCTGTACCCCGTTATGTCCCGGGACCCAAGTGAGAGTAACTCTATTTTTCTCGCCTAGCTCATTCAATTGTTCTAGGCATCTCCATACCATTTTTGAGCTGATTACGTAAGAACTCAGCGCTTTGATGGCTGCTTGACTATCGGACATGATGATAATCTCTTGTCTATGATAGTTTCTCTCGATGTTAAACTGGATACACTTCTCGATGGCGTAAATTTCCGCCTGGAAGATGCTTGGGTATTTTCCCAAGCTTTCGGAGTGGTTGGTTCTCGGCCCATACACTCCTATTCCAGTTCCTTCTATGGTTTTGGAACCGTCCGTGTACCACTGAATAGCACGTCTTTCGGTTGCAAGCGCGATGGATTCTTGGCTCCATTCTTTCTTGCAGCCCAGCTCTGTGGTTTTGAAGTTTTTCACAAAACTGTACTTCTTTTGCATTTCATCCTGGGGCATGTCCCAGGTATCTTTAGTCCTGAAGCAAGTAGACTTTCGTCTGATTACTCCGCTCCTGATCATTCTATATCGTGTCCTTTTTGCTACATTCTCTATCATCAAATGTAGAGGGGTGAGGTTTAAGATCACCTCCATTGCGGCCGTAGGACAGGTTCTCATTGCACCAGTAATGCAAACACAGGCTACTCTTTGTACTTTTGAGATATTAGCTAAACTAGTTCTGTTACTCCAGGCTATAGCCCCGTAAGTGATGATTGGTCTCACTATTGCAGTATACATCCATCGCAGTATGTTTGGGTTACATCCCCATCGTTTACCCGCCATGTTTCTGCATACCATTAGGGCTCTTGTGGCCTTATTTACTACTTTCTTCTCATGTGTGTTCCAGATAAGTTTGTTGTCCAGGGTTAGGCCTAGATATTTGACTTCATTTTTCCATTCTATATCTATCCCGTCTAATTTAACGGTTTTGAGATTAAGTTTTCTTTTCCTTGAAAAGGCTACTAGTGTTGTTTTTGAACCGATACAAGGCAAAATACCAAATTTTAAACTGAAGCTTTATTTCAGCCTGCGGTGAACTGATTAGATTTTGGGCAAAGTCGGGACATTTGGGGGGGTACTTTAATGGTGGTCATTTTTATATTTTATGAAATATATCCGTTATTTACGTTTGAAGAAGAAAATTCTTTAAATAAGAGTTACTTATAATATTATTATCTATAATTTTTGTTCTATACAAAATTTTTCTAAAATGGTCCGTATTCGAGAAATTTGACAAAATGTAAAAAAAAATATTTTTTTATAAAAATTGTTCAAATAAAAGTTGTTTGTAATATAATTCTCTATAATTTTTATTCTTTACATAATTTCCCTAAAATGGACCGTATTCGAGATATTTGAGAAAATGTGTAAATTTCGAATTTTGAAGAAAACTCAAAAACGGATAAAGAAAAAACATTAAATTTTAAACTTAAGTTTTATTTCGGCCTGATGTGAAATAATTAGATTTTGGACAAAGTGGGAACATCTTTATGGTACTGGGTACTTTATGGTAGGCCGTTTTTATATTTTATGGAATATATCTGTTATTTATGTTTGGAGAAAAAAATTGTTCAAATAAAAATTACTTACAATATTATTATCTATAATTTGGTTTTATGCAATTTTTTTTTAAATGATCCGTATTCGAGAAATTTGACAAAATGTAATAAAATTAAAATTTTTAGGAAAATTGTTTAAATAAAAGTTATTTGTGATATCGATCTCTATAATTTTTGTTTTTTATATGATTTTTCTAAAATGGACCGTATTGGAAAAATTGAAGGAAAAGTGCTAAATTTAAATTTTTTTTTATATTTTCGTTTTCAATGAATATCTATAGAAAAATGTTTCGAGTTAGATGTGTGTGGAAAATGTATATATTTAGTTTATCCTTTAAACATTTACAGAGGTGCTGCAATAGGTTGTACAAAATAACCGGAAAAACCCTATAATAACTAAATAGGAAAGTCATGTGTTGGACACATCAGATTTTTATTCACTCTCTAACCAATTACACAATAAGCAAATGTGGTTGAACGTTCCACACAAATCAAATCATGTTCGCCTATTTGATTTTTATCATATATACTTGATGCATACTTTTTATGGTTTATACGAAATATAGTGAACCAAATGGAAAATAATTTAGGTTTATCACCAATGAATTACGTACCGGTTGTTATAGTGAATACACTAGATTAGATATATTAAATTTAGTAGTTCTTTTCCAAAGAGACTGTTTTTTATAACAGATCTTTCAGCCGGTTTCAAGAATGTTTATTAAAATTTATTGGCCTGATAAAATTTAAGATAATTTGGAAGTTAATTTTGCTATTCGTAAATATTTTAAAAATTAGTACAATGGGTCTGTTGTAACATGAATTGTTATTGTTCCGATTATTTATTATTTATCAACCTTTTGATGCTGAAACCGGCCCTTGGAAACCCTCAATTCTACGGTACGAAACGGGGTTCCATTATTAATATGAATATTCAAAAAGTGATAAATATTAACGTCGGCCCTTTCTGTAAAATTAATTGTAGACCTACCTCAAAGTGGCGGACGCAGATCATTGTCGAAAGTCCCAACAATGGAATGATAAACATTGTATGGTTACGAACAAAGAAATAAAAAGATATTTTGGGTGGTGAAATGGCTGGATTTTTAATTGGCCCATAATGAACAATAAACCGAAAATGAGGCTCTTTGTTTATTGTAGGTATATATAAATTAGTTATTGTGTAAAGCCTGGAAAAATGATGAGGCGGAACAATGAGAATGCTGTCTGAACGAGTGACGAAAGAGAGAGCGGTGATGTTGTTATTCAAATTATCCGATATACCTAAAGATTTAAAAAAATAAACCGTTGTGATTTTATATGGAATAATATTTTCTCTAGCCTGTGGTAGACCATATTTATTGGCCATATCAAAATAAAAGTCAAACTTAATTGCAATTTATTTTGTTTTCTGTTAAGATTGTTACACTTCGTTTTTTATTATTCAGTACATTCTCACATTACTCGTTAATTTAAATTAATAGTTACTAAAATTTACCATATTATATAGTAAAAATAGTTTAGTATTACTTGTTTGTACATATAGGTATTATTTATTTTTCATTCAGTGGTAATCATATTTAAATGGTTTTAGTAATGCATAAATACGAAATTTAGAACTAAAATGTCTTTATTTACATTTTTATTCTTAGGTTAAAGTGCTCTGTCAGTGTCAGAGTATTCGTCGCTCGATATTGTCCCGATTCTGCTCAGAATTTTCCGTTCGGTTTCTTTCGTTCGGTCGTTCGTGCCATTATTCAACCTATTCGCGATTCAAGCTAAGTGATACGCCCTCTGGAGGAAATTTGTAGAAGGTCCGTATAAGTAGGATATCGTTCAGTGTTGCCAGAAGTAGCAAAACTTCGCTACGTCGTACGATTTTAGCTCTTGAAGAAGTGGATAAGACCTTTTATTTAAGAATCACAATTTGTGTATGGTAATATGTTATCATACTCTATATTTATTTGAGGATTTTTTTATAAAACCGATTTATTATATTGATTTTTTTTAAATTTCAGTTCATTTATTAATTTTGTTTTAAAATCCATTCATCATTTGGCAACATTGGCGCTCATGTTCATTGTTTACATTTTAATTTGTATCAATTACAATTCGAGTTTTTTCTTACTTTTTAGCTTTAAATTTGTTTATTTCTTATAGCATGTGATAGTATTTATATTAAAAATGAAATCTGCGAAAAAGTCCCCAGAAAATTGCAATCTATATGGTGTAAATGTCAAAATCAAAACTAAAGTATTCATTATTTTCCAAGTACAAGTCATAAAATTTTTTTTTTACGATAAATGGATATCTACAAATTCACAATATTGAAATTTTACAAAA